ATGGAAAAAGGTGTGGAAAATAGCTTAAAATCCACCCCTGAGTCCACGTGTTTCTAGAGATCGCTCTGCAGCCTCCCAGGGCAGCAGAGAATCCATAGAACATAGAATAATAAGAGTTGGAAGGGACCTTGGAGGTCTTCTAGTCCAGCCCCCTGCAGGAAACCCTGGATCCGTGATGGCGAACCTATGGCATGCGTGCTGGAAGTGCCACACTGAGCCATTTCTGCCGGCACGTGAGAGGTCACTTAGAAGAGCCCCATTGTGCATGACCACCAGCCAGCTGATTTTTGGGTATCTGCCATGCATGCACAGGAGAAATGCGCATGTAGGAGATGCATTCACCTGTGCAGGGGGCGGGGCAGATGTGTCGGGTTGTGTGAGTGCATGCGCAGAGGTGCAGGGGGGTCACATGCGCATGGCCAGAGGCATGCTGTGTGCACTCAGGGGGTCACGTATGCCTGTGCAAGGGGCGGGGGGGTTGCACACACATTGCGTCATGGGTGCAGGCACGTGACGTGGAAAAGGTTAGCCATCACTGCCCTAGATCATTTCAGACAAATGGTTGTCCAGTCTCTTTTTGAAAGCCTCTAGGAGCAACCCACAACTTCTAAATGCAGGTTATTCCATTGGTTGATTGCTCTCACGGTTAGGAAATTTCCTTTAGTTCTAGGTTGCTTCTCTCTTTAGTTCGTTTCCGTCCATTGTTTTTCGTCTTGCCTTTTGGTGCTTTGGAAAACAGTTTGACTCAGGGGTGGGATTCAAATTTTTTAACAACTGGTTCTGTGGGTGTGGCTTAGGTGGTCATGCGTCTGGGTGGACATGGCTTGGTGGTGATGTGACTGGCTGGGCGTGGCCAACTCAACATCACTCACATCGAGGCATGCATCTCCTCGCCTGGCCTTTCATGACTATGGGGATGCTGCAACAGTCGTATGTGTGAAAAATAGTCATAAGTCACTTTTTTCAGTGCCATTGTCACTTTGAATGGTCCCTCCACACAAGCAAAGTACCAGCAAAAGAGGGGGAAAAAACTCTAGAGATTTCCTGAGACAGGAAGTCTAGTCCTGCCAAGAATGTAATAAAGGTTAACGGAGAGGCAGTTTCTGTAAGCAACACCAGAATGTTTCCTTCTTGCCTTCCTTACAGGATTAGGCCAGGAATTTCTTCTAACAACCGGTTCTCCAAACTGCTTAGAATGTTAACAACCAGTTCTAGCAAATAGATGCGAACTGGTAGAATCCCACTCCTGAATTGAATCCCCCTCTTCTTTGTGGCAGCCTGTCAAATATTGGAACGCTGCTATCATGTCTCCCCTAGTCTTTCTTTTCGTTAGACGAGACATACCCAATTCCTGCAACCTTTCTTCGCATGCTTCAGCCTCAAGTCCCTAAAGCCAGGAAGATTGGCTTGGTTTAAAGAACTGTGGAGAAGAGCTATGTGAATTTTCCACTTCTCTAGAGCTACATTTTCCCCTTTAAATCTGAAGCATGTGTCAGCCCTGAGATTTAGTGTATGGAATTTTCTGGGAACGAAGATCGCTGTTTCTAAAACATTGCAGAAGAAGAGCAGACATTTTTGCAGGAACAAATAAGTGATTTGCATCTTCCCCAATAAACTGTGGGTCAATTTAAAAACAAAATCAGTAGGGAAACCCCATCTTACACATTGATAAATGAAGGCCAAAATACAGATAATCCTTGACTTGTAACCACTTGCTCAGCATCTGTTTGAGGTTACAGTGTCACTGGAAAAAAATGACCTGTGACTGGTCCTTGATTTTATGACCTTCACATGATTTCCACAGTCACTGAATCAAAATTTGGGCAGTTGGAAACTGCCATGCAGAATCCCAGGCTCATGTGATCACCATTAACATATTAACAGATGATCAGAGTTGGAAGGGACCTTATAGGTCATCTAGTCCAACCCCCTCCGCTGCCCAAGCGGGAGACCCTGTACCGTGTCTGACAAATGGCAGTCTAATCTCTTCTTGAAAGTCTCAAGTGATGAAGCTCTCACAACTTCCGAAGGCAACTTCTGTTCCATTGGTTGATGGTTCTCACTGTCAGAAAGTTTCTCCTTATTTCCAGGTTAAATCTCTCCTTGTTCAGTTTCCATCCATTATTCCTTGTCTGGCCTACAGGCGCTTTAGAAAATAGCTTGATCCCTTCCTCTGTGTGGCAGCCCCTCAAATATTGGAAGATGCTCTCCTGTCTCCCCTGGTCCTTCTCTTCACTAGACTAGCCAAGCCCAGTTCCTACAACCGTTCTTCAGATGTTTTAGCCTCCAGTCCCTGAATCATCCTGGTTGCTCTTCTCTGTAGTTTTTCTAGAGCCGCAACATCTTTTTTATAGTGTGGTGACCAAAACTGGATGCAGTTGTGGTCTTACTAAGGCTTTATAGAGCAGTATTAGTACCTCACTTGATCTCGATTGTATCTCTCTGTTAATGCAATTTAGGATTGAATTGGCTTTTTTTGGCGGCTGCTGCACACTGCTAGCTCATATTTAGCTGGTTGTCCACTAAGACTCCAAAATTTGCAACCTTACTAACTGGCTTCCAACAAGCAGTGTTAATGGGGGAAGCTGGATTTGCTTAATGACCGCTTATGATTATTTTACAACTGTAATGATTCACTTTAGCAACCAAAAGGGTCATAAAAATCAGACGCAACTCACTTAACAATTGCCTTGCTTAACAATGGAAATCATGGTCCCAGTTGTGGGTCATAAATCAAGGGAATTATTTGTATCCCTACTTGTTTCTAAAACTGGATGATCTAACCAGTAAACTTTCTTACTCTGAATCTTTGGGAATGTCACTAACTTGGCTGTGAGCCACGGCAAGAGTTTGGCAGTTGGTTACGACACTATTGTTCTATCTCACAGATCATTCTAGATTTTGCTTGAAATTCTTTTTTCCATCCTCTCTGAGAATTATAAGGCAGGGTGGTTTTATTTTTCCACGTCTGTGAGATCTCAGCCAATAATTAACAAGGAAGAAAGAAGTTCTTAGCACGCCATTCAGGAGCCAAGTGCGATCTTCGGGATGAGATAAAAGAATATCTACAAAGGTGTGGATATAAGAAGGTTATTGTAGATTAGAAAAACACACTTTCTAAGATGGCACATTTCTATCTGAGCTGTACTATTTTGACTTCCACGATTCTTTTAGAAAAGACTAATAATTCTTCATAATAATCATCATCTCTTGAGGGACATAGAAAATCTGCAGAATCAAGAAACAGATCGGGCTGGAATCTTTCTCTCTGGCTTGCTGATTTTCTTAGTAGATGAATTTATATAATCTTTTCTACACTCCCAACTACATGAATTTTCTCTCTATCTTAAAGGGTGACAAACTTAAATACCGATTGCTGCATCTCCAATTCAAAGTTGGATGAAAAAGGATTCTGCATCAGAGGCCGGAGTTTAAAGCTTGTGCCTTGTTTGAAAACTGGTGCTCCAGACTCTGGAAAAAGCATAACTGACCTGACAGGAAAGTTAGTGGGCTTCAATGTTACCTGCCAAGGGTTGGAAAACTTTGAATAGGAATAGCATCTTAAATTGGCATCTGTCAAGAGTCTCCGTTTAAATGGGGCAGGCTATTCTCCCCTGACTGTGACTGCAGTGCTTCTCATCAGACACTGGATTAGATAACAGATAACAGATGGTCAGAGTTGGAAGGGACCTTGTAGGTCATCTAGTCCAACCCCCTGCCCAAGCAGGAGACCCTACACCATTTCTGAGAGATGGCACTCCAATCTCTTCTTGAAAGTTTCAAGTGATGGTGCTCCCACAACTTCCGCGGGCAACTTCTGTTCCATTAGTTGATGGTTCTCACTGTCAGAAAATGTCTTCCTTATATCCAGGTTAAATCTCTCCTTGTTCAGTTTCCATCCATTATTCCTTGTCTGGCCTTCAGATGCTTTAGAAAATAGCTTGACCCCTTCCTCTCTGTGGCAGCCCCTCAAATATTGGAAGACTGCTATCGTGTTTCCCCTGGTCCTTCTCTTCCGTAGACTAGCCATGCTCAGTTCCTGTAACCGTTCTTCATCCTGGTTGCTCTTCTCTGCACTTTTTCTAGAGTCTCAACATCTTTTTTATAGTGTGGTGACCAAAACTGGATGCAGCACTCTAGGTGTGGTCTTACTAAGGCTTCATAGAATGGCATTAGTACCTCACTTGATCATATAAGTGACTAGCTGCTATGTGCAAATTTATACAGGAGGAAATGCAAATTTTCTCCAGCTAACAAATATTGTGTTTAATTAGATAAATGTCCAAGATATGAAATATCATACCAGGGATTTTGTCTTCTGTCATCCTGAGAAGGCATTACGTTCATATGAGAAAAAACTTTTGTAGACGAAGCATTCTCAAATTGCGGTTGCCCCTTTGTGCATAATTTATGCAAGGGTGTAACCTACTACAGGAAATCTTCTCTGTACCTTGTTGTGGCTGCCGGAAATGGAATATACCTTGGGACTATTGTCTGTGGAGATTCTCAGTCATCCAGGTCATGGTTGTCCCAAAAGTGCTTTATCAAAAGGCAACTGGACTTTTTTTTTCCTTGAAGACTTCTCATGCAAGAAGTTTCTTCAGTTCTTGGATGAAAAAACTGTTTTAGAACTAAAGAAGCTTCTTGGATGGGAAGCAAAACGTCTTCAAGGAAAAACAAAGTCCAGTTGCCTTTTGATAAAGCACTTTTGGGCCTAGATACTAATATACAGAACACTTATTTCTTTCTTATGAACTGACATATTTTAAAATGTAATTTGTAACTTAATATACTCTTGAATCTCTTATTCCTTACACAATTGACCACATATCTCCAAGCCTATGTGGGAATTATTACGATGCGTTCTTTCCATATTGCTGCTATCCATGTATTATGCTATATGCTAAATAAATAAATACTATTGATCTGCTGGTTTTTTTTTTTTTCCTATAGGAAACATATTCTATATTCACCTCTCTCTTCCTCTGTCTTCCATGCAGCATCTCTGGAAGATCAATTTGTCTCCAAAGTGTTGGAGGAGACATCAGCTTCGGCAGAGGATGAATTACAGGCTGACTCTGCAATCGTGCCAAGCAGTGACCCATTTATATCAAAAGCCCACCCTGGAATTGACCAGGGTCCATCCGTGTCTTCTTCTGCATTAGAGGAGACAACTGTTGCTGAGAGGCTCAGTCCAGACTACACTTCGGGCACGCTGTCCCAAGAGGAGCAAAGGGACATTTTGAAGGAAAGCCGAGAGATCCCCATTCAAGAGCCTTCAGAAGTCAAGTCAAGTGTTGAGAACATTGCTAGTAACAAGAGCAAGCTCCCGAGGGCGAAACCAATTGCTCTTCAAAAGAAAATGGGGGGAGAGAACTCTGAGACTGAAGTGACCATGGAAAGCCCCCCTATTCCCAAAGCGACCTACCGCTTTGATCCAGAGGAATACAATGAGACCGTGAACCCCTTTACCATGGGAGGCTCCAAATGTCCAAACTCTCCTCCTGCATCTCAGCCAGGGGTTGATCTTCCAAACAGTGACCCCAAGCATCCCAGCTCAGCAGGAGCTGGAGATGGCAAGACCCGGGCCACGAAACTAGAGTTTGATTTTGCAGAAGGAGCAGAAAATGTCGAGGCCAAGAAGCTTCCAGCAAGAAAAATGGGGAGGAGGCCTATCAGTAAGTTGTCTCCTAAGAGACAAAGAGGACCCACCGACCGGCCGGTTGTCGGTCCCGAGGACAGAGAGAAGACAATAGCTCCTGAGGCACCAGTGGCACCTCTGACCAAGGCTACTCCCCCGGTGGACTCCAACCAGTGGGATGATCCAGCCTTTAACCCTTTTGTGGGCAGCTCTTCTTTGCAGGATTCTCCCACACTCACGAAACGCTCATATCGTTTGGACCACGACGATCCTTTCAAGCCGAGCACCAAGACTTTGTCCACCGTAGGAGCTGATTCTTGTCCTTCCGCAGAGAACAGCCTCAACGAGATCTTGGAGTCACAAGCACGAGAGGCCGCGGGGGATGATTTGAAGACATGCTTGGTCCCACAGAGCTCCAGATCACGTCTGATAACGTGAGTGATCGCGGGGGGGGGGGGGGGGTCTCAGCAGGGGAGGAAAGAGGGATATCTAAAACTGATGAAGTTCTAAGTAGCATTTTATGTCCTCCAGGCTGTCAGGAACTCAACCGTTGCAACCGAGAGAGCTTGCTCTGAGCCTAAGATTATGGTTGTGCACATGGCCCAAGTCACATGTGGGGCAACAGCCTTGCCCACTTTGTACCATTGTGGTCCATCCCCTGCCAGATATGTGTGTATTCCCCAGTCAACAAGTGTTGCCTTCTCTTGACATTCTTGACTTTGGGAAAAGTTCAGAGAAGAGCAACTAAGATGATCAAAGGCCTGGAGACTAAAGCATATGAAGAACGGCTGCAGGTTTTGGGTCAGGCTAGTCTAAAGAAAAGAAGAATTAGGGTCGACATGATAGCAGTGTTCCAGTGTTTGAGGGCCTGCCACAAAGAAGAGAGGGTCAAATTATTCTCCAAAGCACCGGAGGGCAGGACAAGAAACAATGTTTAGAAACTAACCAAAGTGAAAAGCAGCCTTGAATTAAGGAGAAACTTCCTAACAGTGAGGACAATTAACTAGTGGAACGGTTTGGCTTTGGAAGTTGTGGGTGCTCCATTACTGGAAGTTTTTAAGAAGAGACTAGACAGTCACTTGTCAGAAATGGTATAGGGGGGTTGGACTAGAAGACCTCCAAGGTCCCTTCCAACTCTGCTATTCTATTCTATTCTAATCCTGCCCAGGGTGGGTTTCTACTGGTTCAGATCGATTCTATAGAACCGGTTGTTACGATTCTGCACAATTTGGAGAACCGGCAAATCGTGCTCCTGGCTGGCCCCATCCCCCTCTGCCACCCCTCCCCTCCCCAGCCCAGTCATTCCTTAAGGTTTTTTTTTCCTCCTGACGATCAGCTATTCCGATGATCAGCTGTGCTGGGATCCCCCTCACTGTCTTACTACTTCACCCAGGAGGCTTCCCGGAGGCCCAGGAGGCCCAAAAACGGTGTGTGTGTGTGGGGGGGGGTGCTGCGTGGGCCTCCCATGCTCCATTTTTTGCCTTCCTGGGAAGCTTCCTGGGAGCAAAAGCATCCTCCCCAAGAGGCTTTCCTGAGGCCTCTTTCGTTGGGGGGGGGGTACTGAGGAGAAGGAGGAGGAGGAGGGGGAGGAAGAGGAGGAGGAGGAGGAGGAGGAGGAGAAGAAGAAGAAGAAGAAGAAGAAGAAGAAGAAGAAGAAGAAGAAG